TTCTAAAAACAGGCTTCTATAAGCCTGGAAGGTGATAGAGGCTGTTTTTTTCTTGCGGAACGCGAGTGAATCTTTCGAACAGTATTTAATGTTCACAACTCTTTACTGTTTCGTACTGAGAACCGCAAACAAACTGTAGGCTGCTCTGAGAACCTGAAATGAACAACAAGCAAAAGTTAATTTAATTAAAGTAATGGTAATTACGCTAGTAAAATTGTGTGTAATATGTCACTATGCTCTTTTATTGAAGGTAAATAGAAAACTAACCGAAACGTAAGTGTCAAGTGATAGAGGAACAATCCCAAAAACTATCGGTGTGATATTCTTAGACCAGCGTAGCATAGCGATGAGGATGTCGCGACGGAATCGAGGAGACACTGACAGCCACCCGCTGAGGTACACCGATGTCGCTACAGAGTCACTCTGCAAATCAAATATTTTCCACGATTGTACATTTATCTGTTTCAATTGCATCTTCTTGTTCCTTATTTTTTTATGAGATATGCTATTAAACGAGCAGACGGATCACCTGATGGTAAGGAATCGGCGTCGCTCATGGACACCTGGAACGCCAGAGGCGTTACAAGTACGTTACCGGCCTTTTGGGGATTAGGAGTTTGAGGATTGTCAGAGATTCTGGGTAATTGGGCTTTCGATAACCTAACTCACATGACGAAACAGAACGCAAGCATTGCTTCATGTCAGTTTTCTGTGAGGCCGTGGTATTACTCCACAAGAAGCGGGCGTATTAAAGCGCAGGGCCACCACTACGAATGAATTCACACTTTACAGACAACGCACTCTCTTTTTTTAACAGGTTTCATTTAATATATTTTCTAATAAAATCTCAATAAAACTTACTTGAAATTGCACCATGTTGCCAAAGTAGCAATAAACGAACACCCGTATCACCAACACAATAAGCATCACCGTGTAGAAAACGAACGCTATCGATACAATTGGAGTCTGAAATTGAAAACAATATGAACACAGTAAAAATCATATAAGTAAAGTTAGTACGAAAAAAAGAACAAGATAGGAAATAGAACAATATTATTTATTATTATGAAGATCCAAGTTGCAATACTTAGATAACATGGCGCTAAGTTTAGGAGTGGGAGGTCGTTACGTCATAACGTGCTACAAAATGTGACACACTGTGACGTCACACGATATTTCAAATTAATATAACGTCGAAAGTATTTAATTTTGTAAGATAAAAATAAAATTTAGGAAACTACCCTATTGTCTACAAGTTTTCTCTGTGAGTAAAGAATATAACAATAAACGTCATTATACATCTGAAAACATTTTTATAGCCCTACAGCTTTTGTAAGAAATTTAATTAGCCCGCGAGGGTATATAGTTTGGACAGCCCTAATGTAAATCACTAATATACAGATAAAAAAATAAATCTTTAAGTATACGATGCTATGTTATACTTACGTAACTCATCACGAATGTGATCAAACAAAGCAAAGCAGAGGAACTGAACAATTCAAAAAATATCGCATAGTTAAAAACGTCACTTATTTCATTTGTGTACCTGGAAGAAAAAACATAATGGTTTTATGCAAACTTAATGGATCGAGCATCGAACGTTTTTCAGGAAACTGAAGTAGCACACCACCAGTGCCTGGTAGTGATTGCGTACCAAGACCTATTGAGGAGTCCTTTGTCCTCAGTAGGAGACGAGAATTGGCTATGACTATTTTTACCGTCGTAAAAATAAGATATTGTTTTGGGCTCAATAGATTCTTTAATTTCATTCTCACCAGGCCACGGTTTCATATCTCTGAACGTAATGCACGAAGCGACCCCTAAGGTCTCTATCCAGCTCATCCCTATATGCAATACATTGTCCATCTTGTGCCCCGTCCGTTGCACCGTCGGTATCGAACAAATGCTCTAAATTGTACTTGATGATCTTCAATTGGACTTCCGCCTGTGCATAATACGCTGCTACGAGGCAGTCGATTGCCAGGTGCCCGTATCCAATCCATACTATGGGTAGCACTTCCATCAGTACGGAGAATGAGTACCTGCAGACAAAATTAAATAATAGAGAATGGTAGACGACATGATCTACGATAGATCATAGAAGTTATATGTTTAAAGTTGTATCTTATACTAGCTTCTGCCCACGACTTCGCCCGCGTCCCCGTGGGGTAAAAAGTAGCATATATGTGTTATTCTAGACCAGATTATGGTCCCAATTTCTACTCGATCCCTTCATCCGTTATGACGTAATGAAATATATACACAAATTCACAAACTTTCACAATTATAAATTAGTAATATTTCATTTCAAACTAACATTTAATTTTTTTGACGGAAGTCAAGTATTTAACTTTTTTCACTAGTAACACCATTTTCTAACTTACCCAGTCCAAGAATCGGTCTCAAAAGGAGTATAAATATAAACTACTGCCTTTGGATTCTGATATCTCTTAGCAAAAAGAGATCCTGGCCAAAATACTCCAGCCAGCGCTACGGCGATCTTCACGTACTTTATAATGCGATGCATATTTCTGGTCGTTTCTAGAAGCATCTCTTCATCTTTCTTTGAATAAGCTGCGAATATGGGATCTGGAAATTGAAATTTATACATTATATTTGAATTGATGCCATTGCACTGATTACAGTCAGTGTAATCAGGTATGATACTTAATCTGGGACACGGCATTAGTTAGCCTTTATTTATTACTAGCTTGTGACGTGTGTGTGTCACAAAAGGATAAAAAGTAGCCTATGTGACATATACCAATACATACAGCGCCATCTATACCAATACTTTTGTTTTCCCTCGGGAATATCAAATTTTTTCGGGATAAAAAGTACCCTATTATTTAATCCAGACTACTAACTTTACGTCTGCAAAAATTCAATGCAATCGATTTAGTAGTTACGGCGTGAAATCGGAACAAACAAACAAACAAACAAACTCACTTTCCGATTTATAATATTAGTAAGGATAGCAGTTTATATTAAAAATATCTTACAATTCAATAATTTATTGATTCTTTCAATTCTCGACGTATACACGTTTAATGTAATCATTTTCACCACTAAGGTCACCTGTAGAATTTCAATCGTTCCACTATCGAATACGTCCCGCCAATTATCACGACCTGCCTGTAATTGTAAAAAACATTACTTTACAGCTTTCTTTAATATAATTCAAGTGGCCATTTTTTTCTTTCAGAATGGAATCTCAATACAAATAGGCGGTAACGGGGAATAAGGTGTCATCCAATTATGGGGAGGGATGATTATCTGAGTGGCTGGAAGTGAAGAGCTGATGGCATTCTAGTAGAGAAGCCAAGTTTGATGATGATGACAGGGATGATGCCGGTGCCAAAATCGACTAAAACTATTATTCTGATATTTAAAAATAATGCATAAACTTTACCTGTACAATAAATATCAGATGCACCGCATTATATCCAAGAACCAGCAGGAACACCAAAGGCCTGTAGATCTGATGAGTTATCCAAAGACACAAGTTCTTAGGTTTTTCCAAAAACCTATAGTATCCAACCCACACTAAGATGTTATAAACTTCAGATAAGGATTCGAACGGCGTTATTGTTTGTTCGGACATTTTTTTATATTACACTAATTGTATGCTGCGATGGGCGTTCAAAGGTAACTGTGATAAAGAATTATCGTCAGTTGATCAATTTCCTCGATTGTATGGAATAATTTATTAATCAAACGTGTACTTTAACTTACATTTTCGTTTTAATTATGAGTGATAATTTATTAGTTAATAAGTAGGGGTCGCTTTTATCATACTCATTTATAATTTTGTAAGGACTTTAATGCATCATACCTGTAATTATGTTAAAGGACCTTCACTACTTCCTATTGTCAGTTTTTAATTCGTCGCAAGTAATCGCAACGTTCTGACGTCATGTAAGTGGTTCTTATTTTCTAGTGTCACTCTTTATCACGATAATTTAATACTTTGACTGCCAATAAAAACTGTTGAATGTAAATCTTCCGCTAACGCCGGTCACCGGTGACCCCCATGACCTTTAACGTATTAATTAACGAATATAATAATAAATGTATTTGTTCTCAAGCACTTAATACATAACATAAACATAACATCATGCCTTTTATCCCCGAAGGGGTGGGCAGAGGTGCAAATTATGGCACTGTACAATGGAACACCCACTTTTCACTATTTATGTTATGAGTCCCATGTAATAGGGGGTGAGCTTATTGCCATATACTGGCCACAATTCCAGACTCCGTGCTACTACTGAGAATTATTTTAAAACCCAGTAATACTTTGCCCGACTCGGGAATCGAACCCAAGACCCCTTACCCGGCAGTTGCACTTGCTACCACTTGGTCAACGAGGCAGCACTTAATACAATATATGAACAATAAGTGTGGCTATATTTTTTTCATAGGTATGTGATTTTAGCTTCTACAGTCGAACTAGGCATTGACTGTATTTATGAAATGTTTTTTTTATCGTTTGCACAAGGAATACGTTTATAATGAAATTAGGGGGTTCGAAGTTTTATAATTGTACTAGCTTTTACCCGCGGCTTCGCTCGCGTCACAAAAGGATAAAATGTAGCCTATGTGACATATACCTATACACACAGCGCCATCTATACCAAAAATTTAGTTTTTCCTCGAGAATATCAAATGTTTCCAGGATAAAACGTACCCTATTATTTAATCCAGACTTCTAACTTCACGTCTGCAAAAATTCAAAGCAATCGGTTTAGTAGTTACGGCGTGAAAGTGGAACAAACAATTAAACAAACTCACTTTCCGATTTATAATATTAGTAAGGATAAGGATCTGTAAATTTAAACAAACACAGAACGTTGTCACGTATGCAATTGCTTTATTTACTAGTCTAGGTATTGGTGCTATCATATCGTTTATTCATAGTGCTATTGCTTATTATTATAATATTGGGTATACATCAAACGTATTAAATTCGTAAATACATACAAGTATCGCGAATTATACATAAAATAATTGTATTTCAATGTTTCGTACTGAGAACCGCGAACAAGCTGTAGGCTGACTTGAGAACCTGAAAAAAAACGACCGTAATTAATATAGTGTAAAATAATCATCATCATAACATCACGCCTTTTATTACGGTACGCCATTAGGTGCACATTACGGCACTTAATGACACTGTACAATGTAACACCCATTTTTCACTATGTATGTTATGAGTCCCATATAATAGAGGGTGAGCCTATTGCCATATACCGGGCACATTTCCCGACTGCGACTCCATCCTACTACTGAAGATTTTTTTAAAAACCCAGTAGTACTTTGCTTGACCCGGAGATCGAATCCGAGACCCTTTGCCCGGCAGTCGCACTTGCGACCACTCGACCAACGAGGCAGTCTGAGTGCAAGGTAATGTTCATAAGATACCCCAATTTAAAAAAAAAGTCATTTTAGTACACAATTGTACATATCTCACACAGAAAAGAAAAGAGACAATTTTAATCGACTTTAAAATTAACGGAGATTCTCAGTTCGATCTCAGTGTGACCTTAACCGATTTTGATGCGGTTTTAGAAAAGTGTTTGTTACACTTAGGAGAAGGTTTTAGTAATAATTAACTGACTTCAAAAAAGATGGGGTTAAATCGATTATTTAAACGTAGTTTATAATTATTATGTGTAATGTTATGATGTTTTATTTGTACAACATTTTTTCTTTTCAATATTTTTATGACTCGAAGGAAGGACTCGAATGGATTCAAAATTTACGAATGGGTCGGCTCGACCGGAGTAAAACCACGACCTCCCAAAAAACCAACTTGAAGCAACACTTAATTTGTGTTTCGTCGTGGGAGTGAGGTTACCGGAGGCCTAATTACCCCCTGTACCCAATCTACCAACAATCCTGAAACTCTTAATCTCCAAAAGGCCTGTCACGCTCTTGTTTTTCCCATAAAAAACTCGATTATTTTTAGCGGCTCAGTATAAAAATCAGTGTTGTGCAATATTTATCGCTCGGTACTGTACTAGCATTTTACTTGTATTTTCTTTCGAAAAGTGGGTGTTATATTTTTTTATTGCATAAGCCGGTAAACGAGCAGACGGATCACCTGATGGTAAGCAATCGGTGCCGCCAATGGACACTCGAAACACCAAAGTGTTACAAGTCTGTTACCGGCCTTTTGGGAATTGGGAATTTGAGGATTGTGGAGGATTCGGGAGACGGGGACTAGGGAGGAGTAATTGGGCCTTCGGTAACCTCACTCACACGACGAAACACAACGCAAGCGTTATTTCACGTTGGTTTTCTGTGAGGCCGTGGTATCACTCCGGTCGAGCCGGCCCATTCGTGCCGAAGCATGGCTCTTCCCTACTTAATTATTTTATTATTTCGGAAAATAAAAGGCATGAAGGCATAAGATGCAAGACTTCTATTATAAGCAATAACTAACCGAAACATAAGTGGCGAGTGACAAAGGAATGATCCCGGACACTCGAGGAGTGATATCCTTGGACCAGCGTAACATGGCGACGATGAGGTCGCGACGGAATTGTGGAGACGCTGACAGCCAGTCACTGAGGTACACCGACGTCATTATGGAGTCACTCTGCGAATGAAACACTGGGTTTAAAATGGATGAAGAAGACTGGTCTTAAACAATTTAACCCAGTACGCAGGGAATATTGCCCTCTGTTAAGTGAACACCAAGAGATTTGGGCACTATTTAAAACAGCTATACCCACTCTGGGTTTAGGATTGTGGTATTTGATTGGACGATAATCCGACCGACTGGAAGTCAGACGCAAGACTAACGTATTTTCAGAGACACATTAATACAACTCCATGTAGAACAGTAAGTGTATATAATAATGAAAAACAAAACTACATATTTCTATATAAAAGTAACATAAGCTAACTTCATATTGCACCATGTTGCCAAAATAGCAGTAAAGGAACACTTGCATCAGCAGTACACCGAGCATCACCGTGAAGAACGCAAACGCCAGGGAGAACACTGGAGTCTAAAATAGAGAATGACATTAAAAAACTGGTTAATATAAAACTTCATCCCCTTCTTTAGGGGTTTGACAAAGCCAAACCATACAAAACTAGGAAAATAGAAGAAATGGGGGCTATTAATCATGAGGATGTAAATAACTAAAGATAATTTTAGTGTTATTCTACCGAATGCTGCGTAACATCCTACTTACGTAACTCATCTTGAATGTAACCATACACAGCACAGCAGAGGAGCTGAAGAATTCAAATCCCAGCGCGTGGTTAAATATATCACTTACTTCCTTAGTATACCTAGAAAAGCAAATAAAAGCTCCCAGTTTTTTGTAAACTTAATATTTCCTTTCACATTTTATTATAGTTACTCTGAACGCTTTACTTGAGCTGCCCATCGTTCAAGTAAAGCATACAGCGTCCTCCAGCAGCGTGGAGTCACTCCAGCTCCTATCTGTAACACACCTCAACTTGTTTACATCCACAAAATGGCCGACAGTGATTGAGTACGGAGAGTTGAAGATCAAGTTAGTTAGTAAGCAATTAAGAAAGTCCAGATGAAGACGTTAACAAATTGATTGTGATTTTTATAGTTAAAAAAAGAACAACATTTTTTGGAGAAAATATTCCTATTGTCGTTCTTACCAGGCCACGGCTTCATATCTCTCAACATAATGTACGAAACGGATCCTAAGGTCTCCGTCCAGTTCATCCATATAAAAAATACGTCGTCTGTAAAACGCCTCGTCCATTGCACCGTCGGCATCGAACAAGTGCTCTAAATTATACTTGATGATCTTCAGCTGAACTTCTGCCTGTGCATAATACGTGGCTATGAGACAGTCGATTGCCAAGTGGCCGCATCCAATCCATGGTAGTGGTAGGATTTCCATCATCACAGAGAAGAAATATCTGTGAAACCGGTTTATAAAAATTCGTAACTAAGTCTTCCATTTCATTATTTTTTAGGTTTAGGTTTTAGGTAATTGTGTATTTTGGTGTTCGTAAATTCTCTTTAATCATTTCTGCGATAGAAGTAGATTTGACATCTGAGTGTAGATTTCCATGCAGTACCTCAACTAACCCGATAAAAAATAGAGCTTTCAAATTCACCTGGAAACTGGTTAAATTATCTAAAAAGTAGATTTTTTACCCATTTATTTTTTCCAGCAAGAATGAACGCGATTCGTAACTTACCCAGTCCAAGAAACAGTATCAAAAGGAGTGTAAATGTATACTACTGCCGTTGGGTCCTGGTATCTCTTAGCTAACAGAGATGTTGACCAGAACGCTCCAGCCAGTAATATGCTGATCTTCATGTACTTGACAAGGCGGTGGGATGTCTTTATCGTCTCGAGAAGCATCTCTTCATCTTTCTTTGTTTTCGCTGCGAATATGGGATCTGGAAAGTTTACTGGGTCAATTTGTTATTTGATGTTTGTTCAGTTGTATGTTTGGGAATACAGTTTTTATGGCTGACCCATTAAAGCTTTTTTTGGGTCGATAATAGTTTATACTGCTATCTTTAAGTGTACCTACTATATGTCAATAATATTGCCTTTGAATTTATCAACTTGCCCAAAAAAATAAGTTAGTAGAAAGTGCCATACCATTCAATAAATTATTGATCTTATCGATTCTGGACATATGCAAGTTTAAAGTCATCGCTTTAACAACTAAGTTGAACTGTGGAATTTCAATCATCGCACTATCGAATACGTCGTCCCAATTACTTCCCTGCAATTTTAAATCTACATTAATTTTTAGTTTAAAATACAGATAGAATGGGTGTGATCTTGGCATGGAATGGGCCCATTTTCTATGGGATACGTCGGCAAACGTGCAGAGGATTTGGGAATTTGTGGATTTACTTATAAAATGTGAAACATATTTGCAAAATACTAATGAGTTTCGAGCACAGGTTAGCCCAGGGAAAAGTTAGCAATATCACAAAGTCTAGAGGTACCTATCAAAAAATAACTATTAGAACCCGCTATAGATACATCACCCGTGAAAACATATTTACTGATTGACCTTGGGTGAGACGTAAGGGCCGAGGGGATGTCAGATTCTTACTGACTAACAACTCACCTCGTTCCGATTCTAATCTATGGCGCGGCCATGGTATGTGGAGGACTTATGCCGTCTGGCTTGTTTAAATACTAACTTACTTGTAAATATTACTTGTAATATTACAAGTGCGACTGCCGGCAAGGGGTTTAGGGTCGAGCAAAATATTAATGGGTTTTTAAAAAAATCTCAGTAGTAGCACGGAGTCTGGCATTATGCCCGGTATATGGCAATAGGCTCACCCCCTATTACATGGGACTCATAACATAAGTAGTGACAAGTGGGTGTTACATTGTATAGTGGCGGTACAGAAATAAAGGCGTTATGTTATGTTGCAAATATTACGCAAACTCTACCTGTGCAATAAATATCAGATGCACTGCATTAAACGCAACAGCCAGTAAGAACGCCAGAAGCCTGTAGATTTGATGGCATATCCATAAGCACCTGTTCTTTGGTTTCTTCAACAACCTTAAGTATCCAGTCCACATTAAAACATTGTAAACTTCAGAAAAAGATTCGAACGGAGTTATTTTTTGTTCAGACATAATTGTATGGTCGTTTAATGGTGACTATGATTAAGCAATTGCCCTTGGCTGATCAATTCCCTCACTTTAATAGATAATGTAAGGAATAATTTATCAATCAAACGTGTACTTAGTCACTTTCATTTCGTTTTAATTATGAGCGATAATTTTAATTGTAGTTTGCTTTCCATTTGATATTTGCCGAGTCTGGATATAATTTAAGGGCAGTCCTTACTTTTTATTTAATCCAAATTTAGAATAGAAGGTTCGAAAGTTGTTTTTTTTTAATTTCACTCTGCTCAAAAAACTACAGATATATCCAGGCGTTGAAAGTTCCGTGAGGAAGATTCACGATGAAAAAAATAGCTGGGAACATTGTTTATGTACGAATTAATTCTGGAACATGATTAGAACAAATTAAAATACTTTTTGACTTACTAAGTATTTGGCAGAACTTATCAGAAATACTATTTTCGAATAGGCCACTTGGGATGGCTTAGAAATACTATAGGGAATAGATATTCCCTAACCAAGATAGGAAGCCCAATTTCGTATAGATCAAGAGCGTGCTACAGCTTAAATGACTAAACACATGTATAGCTAGGTCTAGACAAGGTATAGGATCTAGGTATAGGCTAATTATTAGAGACCGTCATGTACTTATAGTTACTTTTTATTAATGACTGATGGCCTTAATTTGAATCGTTCATCATACGACTTCAATTTTATCAACTTGTTAGATATACTATCGTCGAGTGACGTTCCCGTAATAATAAAACCCCAGCATGTATAGTAAGCATTTATTTATCTATCTAATAAATAGGCCTTACAGGTTAACAATTAAGTTTACAGTTTATATGAACACATTAAAAGGGGGGCAGCCACACTTGGAAATGGGGCCCAAAGTCTAACTTTTTTCGGAGTGCTTCTTCGAAAACGGCATCTCTGGATGCGTCACGGGGCCCCGAAGTATCCTTGCCGAATTCCCGACTGACCTCCCTCGCCGCTCGCACGAACTTTGACACTTGAGCCACACTTTCTCTCACATCTTCTACTGGCAACTGTGAAATAAAAAACAGCTTTTAACCTCTTATATGCCGTATATAAGACACAATAGAATACGCATTCTGTCTCGCGTAGATACAGTGGTATCAGGGAGCGTAACCCGTGGGTTAAGTCAGTAAAAAACAAAGCAAAGGTGAAGCTGATGTGGAATATCACAGGAATGGCATTGTTCAGGACAAGGATTTATAGTTCGTTTGGCATAGTCGGATAGTCAATGAGACTCAAACACGAGTACGACGAAAATGTGGATGATGAAGATACTCTAAAGTTAAATCAGGTATATAACTGAGAAAATGTTCTGGTTGTTATATTTAATTCTGGTATTACGAAACTATTTTTTCTAAAACCGTCAACATAGACCGAAACCTTACCTCATCATTATTAGGCAAGGAATGGGGGTATATCCTGACCCAGTGGCCCACCCTGCCGATGGCCCTGTTCCAGCAAACGCCATTCCCCCACTTGCAGGCAGACATCACACGTCGGCGTGAAGCAGCCGTGGAGTACCCGCCACGCCACGACTCGTCCACAGGCTCCGTTGGGGGTGTGGGCCCACTTGATGAGGACTGTGAAGTTTACAGTTACTGTTAGTTAAATGAGGTGATATGTAAGACTTCTAATTATTAATCATCATAATCCTACAAAGATTTTGATAATCCGGAATGACTCCGAAACCCATGCAATTTCATCCAATGTAGAATTATCCCAAAAGTCAATTAATGCAAGAACAGTATTTTTAACAATTCTAGTTAAAATTAAAGATAACATGACGATGAACATCAGCCCATCAATTATTTAAAACATCAGCCCATCAATTATTTAAACAAACTAAATTATCATGAAACATAATTACTTTTGCCATTCCTCGACATCTTAATTAGACTATAAACGATTATTTAAATGTCTAAATAATGAACTTGAATCGGAACAATCAGAACCTTGCTAACAATTCAGTGACATTTTGTAAATAAACGGTGTAGTCACGGAAGACATTTTTCTACTCAAATCGAAGTTCTATTTTAGACCTTCGATCTTTCGCGACATAATTACGTATTCATCCTTGCTGTACCTACTTTGTCAAGGTTAGAGCCTTCAGTGAAATGGAGGGAGGGGTGGAAGCGCAAGATTTTATAAAAACAAACAGCACGACATTCTCGAATTATGTTAATAGTATCGAATAGTTTTATATTGCGGAATTCATTTTTATTATTCGTTTGACATTGAATATAATGTTTTGATGAAACGATTTCTTTGTAATGTAAGTATCTAAGCAGCAGTTAGACTATGAAAAGGAAATATTTATGTGACACAATAAAACTTAAAGGCTACTAAGACAAGTCCTCCAACATAATGCCTAGAATAATAATGTAGGCACTGTTTTCTATTTGCATATTTTTTTCGTATATATCATATCCGTATCCATTATAAAGGATTATTTAAATTAAATTTGCATGCCTTAACCCCGAATTTGAAGTTACCTGTACATCAGCATCACTGTTGGTATCCGTTTTGTACCGCGCACCGTGTACCTCCTTGACTTTTTCCGCCGAATCCTGCATTTTTCGATTATTTAAAAAAAAGCCAATCCAATAGAATGCGTTGAAAAATTTGGAAAAATACAAAAATAGCTTTGCTACGTCACGTCATTCGGCACGCACAAAGTTCATGATTGTAAGTCCCAATTTAAATTGGAAATGGTTGAGCTGTTTCGAAAAGTTACGGGGTAAAACAGAAAGTACACTTATAAAGTTATTTTCTAATGACAAAAAAATGTTTTTCACAATAGAAGCTAACCTGAATTCTCTCTTTCTCGGGTAATCCGTTGGATGGCGTGGGCGGTGGCGTGTTGGTGGTGGCGCCGGGTCCCGCCAGCGTGACGCAGTGTAGCGGCAGCGCGCGACGCCGGCGCGGGCGTGCAGTGCGCCGCCCCGCCGAGCGGTTGCGCGCGCGACTGCCGCCATTATTCTCTTCCTCCGAACTGCAACTACCATATGTACCAAACCACTTGCCTAAATTTTTTGGGGACTATTCTTTCTATTTTTGTGCTAAGAGAACAAGAGCAATAAAGACATTAACCAAGATTTTAATGTTCTTTTTCAGCCAACCAAACCCATGAATAAACCTAATAAACATGTTATAACATTAATCAAATAGTTTTTATTCAAACAAAACTTCACCTGTTGGTAAGTTGGGTCGGAGGAGGAGGTGCCTTCAACTTGGCGAGTCCAGTATGCTTCATGGGTAACCCCAGGAGGTCGAACAGCTCATGCAGCATCGGTTGCTTCACCACCACGTCAGCCTCGCAGTCAGATGCTAACGCCGGGGAAAGGTTCACCTGAAAACACCAGTTTCAAATTTAGCGGTCAATATTTCTGCTTTTGTTTTTCTGTACCTATAGTTCTTTGTCCAAACTGCTATGTATACATAATTTACCTCAAAAAGCATATTATAGTCTCAAAAAAGAATCTAAATAAAATATTCATCTCCAAGAAGGGAAGCCTTAGAAGACAGGGTTCGTGGAGAATTAATATTTTAAATTGAAATAAAAAAAGGCTAAGAAGACACTAGTATGCTCACCTCCAGCAACCATGGCTTCAAGCAATCATCAAGTAAGACATCAAATCCATAGAATTCGAAGCAGTTTCTGGCTGGTGGAGTACCAGCCGCCTGGGCCAGCAGAGTCAGTGTCACCAGCGCCCTGATCCGCTGCCACACCACCCATTCCGCCGCCCCCCAACGTCCGATAAGGGCCTTTCGAACTTGCGTCAAAGTCCATTTGCACCCTGCAATCATTCAAAGGAGATCCTAAGACATTTTGCTCACACATTTTGTAGAAACGATGTTCATGATTCTAATTCTAAAACTGAATGAGCTTTGGCTAAACAATATTGTTATCTAGTTACAAAAGAAAAAAAATAGGGATATTGTGAAGCCCAAACTCGTGGTAGCGGTGAATGTTGAATATCATAAGCAAAATATACAATAGTGCACTTACTACCCAATGAAAGCTAGATCAAAATATTTACACACTTAAAAGCATAAATAAAGGTGATACAACATAAGCTTCATAGTACAAACTGCGGCAAAGATATTTGTTGCTCCTATATATATACGTTATGAATCGAGACAAGAGCACAGCTTCACGGATCAAACTCTACTTCTCACCTCAAACATAATGAATTGAGAGCTACCACGCAAATGTTAATAGATACGATAATGATATTCTAGATGAAGAGAATACTCATGAAGAAATTTAAGTAGGTAATCTATTATATTTTACTTTTTGCGCCTACCTAAGTACTTGCTTTACTTTCAGTAACTACGTCATCAATACCACTACTTTCACGGCGACCCACGGAAGTGGTGTTGATAATAAAATTGAATGTAGTAGCAAATCATGAGCACAATTTCTTTGAATAAAGTTGAACACGAAATGTTCAATAAAATATATCTTTTTTTGGTTTTTAGGAAACCCTGCACACTAGGATTTTCTCCTGTGTCGTGGATGTTTTTAGAAACATACAATTTCACATACACATGACACTTAGACCCGAAACAACAATTTGTGGATCACACAAAGAGTTGCTCTGTGTGGGAATCGAACCCGCTACACGTTGCGTGGCAGCCGGTTGCCCAGCTGCCGCGTCGACTGTGCAGTCAGTGCTATTTGAATTATAATTGTCTGAAAACTAATGGAAACTGTAGTTTTAGACACCACATCAATCACTCACAGTAGATAATGTACGTCAGATCAGATTGTTCTTAGTTTTTAGTAAAGCCTTCACAATTTTTTCATCAACACCACAGCAAAAAGAACGAAAGAAAAAAGATATAAAATAAACCGTCAATACATACAACAGCAACAAGATAACTTGGTAAGAAGCATCACACCCAGTTGTCAGACGGCCGGTGTCAAGGGACCAGGCGCCTTCAAGAGAGACGTAACACTTACCGCTACCGATTCGGTCCTTACATTCAGCGTATCGCGGGCCGCTCTTGTTGAGGGACGAGTTCGTCAGGTGGCGGTACGGGTTGTGGATGTCCGATAGCGTGTACTTGTCCGTGCCTGGAACATTTTCAATGAAGGGTATAAGCATATTCTTTTTATTTATAAAGCTACTAGTAAGATGCATAGAACGGACATATTTTAAAACTTACTATCTCTCTTCATGGCAGAAAGTGATTAAAGTTAACTCACTTTAATCCCTAAAGACTTTGCTGAATTTTTAAGTTTGAATATTTGTTTTGACTGTTTCATGTATGGAACTTTATTATTGTTTGCAGCAAATTAACTTTCAGTAAATGATTCTGTACTAAGACAAGATAAGAAATAGAGCGTACCGAATCTCGCAAGTCCCTCAGCATACATGTAGGCTGTGAGAGGCCTGTACCCGGGAACACACACGTACAGCCGGAGGTCGAACTTGTAGCCCGCGATCAGCAGAGGCCGCTCGATGTAGCGCTGCACCACCGCCGACGTCCCGCAATTCATCTCACACAGGCTCTGAAACATTTTAACCAAGATTTTGATTACAGCTGCGTTTTTTTTCTCAATTCCGTAGTCTGCCACAACAACGTACTGTGTAGTGGTTCAATCCTCTAAGTTCCATTCAAAGATCAGACAGAGTTTTAAATGTCCTTGGATATAGAATTTATTTTGATTCCATAACTCTGGAAGTTCCAGTTCCATAAGACTGGAGTGGTCGTTAAAAATCTATGTGACTATCATCACATGTTTATTGTTTTTTTTTATGGCATAATCCGGTAAACGAGCAGACGGATCACCTGATGGTAAGCAATCGGTGTCGCCCATGGACACCTGGAACACCAGAGGCGTTACAAGTGCGTTACCGGCTTTTTGGGGATTAGGAGCTTGAGGATCGTTGGGGATTCATGGATTAGGGAGATTGGGGAAGGGGAGGGTAATTGGGCCTCCGGTAACCTCACTCACACGACGAAACACAACGCAAGCGTTGCTTCACGTCGGTTTTCTGTGAGGCCGTGGTATCACTCCGGTCGAGCCGGCCCATTCATGCCGAAGCATGACTCTCCCATACTTGTGTCATGACATGTAGTCAGGTAGAGCTTTTTTCTGTTCAATAGAACGTAAAGTACTTATAAGTGAAAAACGCTAAGTGTTAAGATTGGTTGTAAACCATACATATATTTAGAATCGCCTCTCATTTTTTCTTTCCTCATCTTATAAACAACCCTAATGTTTTAGACTTAACATACCCTAAACAAAAAGATCCCTCTTCCCTGGCTCTGGGCGACGGGCTTGTGTATCCAGACGACATTAGCTCCCGCTCCATTCTCGTCCCGTCGCAGTCGAGAGCATTCTGTCACCAGCTTCGCGTACTCCAAGGGCAAATGGTAGCATGGAGGGCTAGAACAGAACAATGTTTTTAATTAACAAACTTACGCAATAATGAAATGTTGGAAATGTGGATTTCATCAATAGAATAGATCATGGGGGCTTTTATGATAGCCTGCTACACGAAAACCTTATCCTTTAAGTAAGCATGTGTCAAGAACTGACAGAGCTCATTCATAGTTCTTAAAAAAAACTGTTAGTTACGGTCATTTATAAATCCATTTCATCCATTACATTGGTAAAAATATAGAGACAAACAGACAAATTCTTTGGAACAGAAGTTCACTATCGGTAGACATTGAGAAATCATTCATAATTAAGGACTATAAATAACTTTCCGAAAATAGCGTAGACCGAAAATAGTTCCACAAACAATTTCGGAACCCCTTTCAACGTTCAGGTAACAAATAAAATTGCGTAATTTTACGACAGACAACCCGACCGACGACATAAAAGTAACCGGCTCTATACATAGAAAAAGGTTGGTATTTGAGGCGTGCCGATAATAACAGGGAAACACCGTATACGCGCTGATACCGGACTGACTACCTTCTGCACCAGGCCATAAAATTTCACCAGCGCAGATTGCCGATAAGAATTTACAAGTAAATATATGAATGTTCACAAGTTCGCAAACACCCCATATATCGTAAAACGCCGACCGTCATCTTTTCACGTAAAATGCATGCATACGAGCCAGTGTGCACGCAATACTATCATAACAGATAAGTACTCCGCTTTACTATAAATAAACCGTACCCATAACTAGTACCTAAACCTGCTCTAGTTCTTCAAATACAGTGCCAAAGTACGCAATTTTTCAACCTCTTATCAGTATTTAACATTTACGATTATTTATTGTTACGTGCAGTATCGATGCGTGTAGAAAATTGGCCTCGTAAACTATTTTTATTCCGATGTTCTGAATTTATATTTTTAAGTCAATGGTCGACTTTCAGACATCATTCAAACAAACGCATTTAAATTCCATGCCTTGTTTGCATCGTACACCATCGTTACTTTTTCACTACGTCGAGTTACCATCCATTTAATTTTTACTACTGTCTCCGTCCCGCTCGTACTCCCCTCGAATACAATGTTTGGGGTGATGCAGTCAGTTTTGTGGTTCCAACAATGAATAATATTATCCAAAACAAAACAAAACTATGACATTGATTCGTTTTTCTTGGTGCAATCGTCACGCGATCGCCACGGTACCACTTGGGGGTAATTGCTGGAAATACGTTCATTAATATTCGAAACAATGATTTGATATTACCGTGAACTTTCACCTTAAGACACGATGCAGGAATTTTTAATATGACCTTTAAAAACTTGGCAGTAAGAGTTGTAAGTGTTCGATGTCAGCCATGCAGGAATTATTATAGCGAAGGTCTCATTGAAATCGCTGAAACAGTTAACTTTAAATAGATATTAATTAATTGCAAGTACATTTAGCGTGGCCGCAGCTGCATGCAATAAATTTTAAGTTGTTTTATAACTTGACGAGAAATAGAGTCAAGTTGAATGTCAAGAGTATCCTAAGAAATTACGGTTAACTGCAGTAAATTCTATGAAATTAATACAAATACTGCTTTGACATGACATTGCATTTTTAACTAAGAAATGTTATACAACTATAAACGTTTCCTTTGTCTAAACATGCTAAAAATCCGTAAAATAAAAGTAATTGTGTCTGTCCTAGAGACACAATTACTTTTATTTTACGAATTTTTAGTATGTCTGTCATTTATCGGAGGTTTATCATCCTAAACTGCTTTATCAATTTTAGTTTCTCTACGAACATGCAGCATGTCATATAAACACATGCAGCAGTATAGTCAAACTCATAAAAATGGAATATATTTAAAAAGAAGACTTCAACTGAAAATGCCTGATAAGATAGTTATTTGAAGCCAGAGTGTTCATCTTAAGCTGGACGAAGATTTTTTGTCACTCAGTATGAACTTCTTAATAAGACGTGCTACATACATGTGGCAGTTGGCTCCCTTACCACCAGTAAAAAGAAGCTGAAAGGACAAATCAACATGAAATCACAACAAAGACATCTGCCCACTTTCTCGCATTAAATTACACTCTACAGTTTTTGCGGAAAAATCTTTTTTACCTCAGTAAGAATAGGTAATGCAAGAATAGGTAATGCCGTGACACACGCGATACAGCGCGTGGCTTCATTCAAATACCTGGTGACGTGAAGCGATTGACTCGTGACCCGGACCATGGTACACGACAAACAGACCGACCTTTCTATACATACATATATACGTCGCGTAGGTAATAAGTACGCACCACATAGATCAATGAGTTGTAGATGTGATATTCCTATGAGTTCCGTTTTCGCGCTCACAGATTGGCGCTAGTGACGCTTTTGATACTATTAAGATAATATAGTTGTCATAAGTTAAACTGTTGTAAAAATATTATGTTCCATTAAGCAATATCGTCAATTATCGTCTCTCTTTCTCTCAATGATTAGGGGAAAATTTGAATAGTTTATCAAGTACAAAATCGCTTAATAAGGACTCATGTTATTGAGTTTGCAACAAATTCTGTTTGTTTTAAAAGGTATATGCTGTACGCATATTAAGAAAAAAACTAAAAGTTCTTAAATCGGACAAAAATTAAGCGTTAAATCAAGTATTGGAAAATCGCCTGTACAGCCCTATAAACAAAAACTAATAAAACCATTGGCCACATTAAAGTCTATGATTGAAGCTAACTTTTATGATTGATGGCTAGACTTGCCTCATTTGTTTCACGTTCCTTACATGAAGTTCCCAAACATCGTATTTGTCAAAATTCTTCAACGTTAAAGGGGAATTGGTTGAATCGTAAATCAAAATTGCATGTGGGTAATTCTACCAAAACGTACTTTTTATGACGAATAAGAATGCGACATTGTCCTGAAATGCCAATAATATAAAAATAAAAGCACAGTTGGAAACATATTTTCCCTCAATTTCGTAAACTGTAACGCCATAAACCTAATTTCTGTTACAAATTGTGCAGTGACTTTTACTGTCCCCAATCCTCGAAATTAAAAAGAAAACCAAATAATGGCTTCTGAATTTTACGACAATTTTAAATCAATTTTATTAATCTTTGGAAAACAATTGGGGTTCACCGGGTTGTTAATTTTCATCAGGATGAAATTACAATTTACAATCGGCGCGGTAACGTGGGCCCTGCGTGTACAAAAATGGTTTCTGCGGGTTTTTATTGCTTTAAATTTATAAAAATGGACCAGATATCAACCGTTTTCATTATTATCGTGAGCAATGAAACGATGTTTACATTTGTGGTTTGTTTTCCCAACATTTATGTTGGAAACAAATAAACGATAAGCTGTTTTAATTTTACAACCATTGCACGATTCTATAAATATGAAATCACATTTTTGTTACTTTGTTGCTCCCGTCGTTTATTTTTTTAAATCTGATTCTTTATTCAAAATACAAAGTTAGATCAACAACTGGTACTAATTTGGGGACTTAGTAATCCCCAATATCAAATGAAATCTTTGATCAATGACACTTTATTTGTTATATAGCTATCCTCTTCTATTCAATAGCATTACCCTTCCAACTAAACTGTTTTATAAGTTTGTTTATCCTATTTTCCTTCCTTAGCTGCCATTCAAAATTACTTACACCGAAACCCTTTACTAAAAGTAATTTAACTCCTGAAATCAAATTAACCATTTTGAATTGTCCATTAGCTACTCAAAAGACAGAATAGGTACGCAATCAAAATAGATTATGTTAATAATTCTCGTACTGGCAACACGCAATGGTGTAAATTAAATGATAACGTCTATTGTGATTTGTAGTATTACGACGTTTTTGTAAGAATTATTGTATTTATTGATGTAATATTGAAGTACTATTTTATACTTAACAGATTTACCACCGCTTAACATAACATTCGTCCTTTTATTCTTCAATTTTTTTTTAATTCTTCTATAGGGTACAGTACTTTACACATATCTATTCAATGTAGTCTCTAATTCCAATGTATGCTTGATTAAAAAAGGATTATCCAATTTAGCCCAGCTATTTCTGAGTTTTGTACATTACACGAGGTGATAGTTACCTATGCAGGAAGCCAGTGCTCAAGGAGCTGGTCTAAAATCCTTGACTCCGGATGTCTCTATAAGCACTTTGTCTTTCCACCGAAAAAATAGAAAAAATCACTGTACGATTATTTTTAGGTAAGCGCGCCAATCACCGCCATATTCGAAAGAAGAAAGAAAGAAAAAGAATTTATTTGGCAAATGGCACACAAACAAAGATTATGAAAAATAAAAATACAGATACTTACATAAATACATAATATTAATAACAAACATAAAAGCGTAAACAAAAGAACAATATCATCAAAATATAACAAAATAATGTACATACAATACGAAACAAATGCAATAAGTTTTTGATATAAAGAGAAATTAAATATACAAAAAAAACAAAATATAAATAATATAATATTACTAGCGGACCCGACAGACGTTGTCCTGCATATCCACACGAATGTATGTACAAACAAAAATTCATTCAAATTAGTTCAGCTGTTTAGGATAAATAACCTAAACATCGACTGCAGCGCCATCTGCCGGGCTAATTTGTGAATTTAAACCATTCCCAGATTCCCTTGAACACACACAAAAAATTTCATCAAAATCGGTCCAGTTATTTGAGAGAAGTTCAGTGTCATACACACTCACAGAAGAATTATATATATAAAGATGCAGTGAGAAACCCCCTTTTGTATGAGAAATGACAAAGAAACCATTTTCTCTTGTCCATGTTACAAGTAACTAGCATAAAAAACGAGGAACAACATTGTACGTAGTACCTAAACAAGCTTAGTTATATTGTGTAAGTCCCATAAAATTCAATCTTTACCTTTTATAGCTAATCACAGCTCCATATAGACGCACCGATATAAAAATGTTAATTATTATTGCTTGCTTACAATGCGGTAATTAGAATGTA